GAAACTTCCAGGTTCGATTTCGAAATGGCGCCCCCGCCCAAGACTTCATTCAAACAACGATCTCGATTGGATTTCTGAACCATCGGACTCGAATTCGAAAAGGCGGTTCCGCACGAGACTTGAGCAAAACAATGCCCGAACAGAACATTGTACTGGGGCCCCGCGGCCTAGCGGGCGCAACGCCACTGACGGCCTCGTACCGGGGCCCGTCGCCTTACGGGAGGCGCTGCATTTTGGCCGAACTTTCGTAGCGGCGACGTAGTCCTGCGTAGGGTTCGCTCCCAACTTCGTAAGGTAGTTGGTTCTACACTTTCCCCTCCGTCCCGTCGGTGCTCCTCCCTTCTCGTCCCAGTTTAGTTCCTTTGGTCTATCCCATCTATTTCAGTATGTATCTTCCCTTATTGCACCGTCCCAGGGTCGTGTAGTGGGCTAGCTCCTCGTCGTCTTCCTCGTCATCCGCCTCGGTAACCCTCCTAACCTTTACCCTCTCTCTCGGCTCGTTGGGGCCGTGGAGGTTAATAGTAGGTTCTAGCATGAGCCACGTCTTTCCGATGGGTAGACCCCTATCATGGCCACGCTCTTCTGCTGCATACCTTTATGCGTTATCTACGCGTTGCCTTTTTGTTGCTGTCCTCTGCTTGACCCCAGGGCTCTCTGCCGACTGGTCGAGGGGCCAATCTTGTCCCTGGAACACAGCGGAGATCAGCGGAGGCCCATGCCAAGAAGCACCCTTCTCGCCTCCAGGGCGCCCTGACTTTCTTGGGCTTCGACGACTCTGCTGTGGAGGGCGTGACGTTCCCACACCAGAATCCAGGGAACGTCATGGGGTCTCGGGGTTGGGCTTCTTGTGGGAGGTTTCGTGTGGTCTGTCTCGATCGCTCTGCGGGGCCGCTGGTCCTCCCCTTAGGCAGCGCCGATCGTCCCAGCTCCTCTGGCGAGTCGTTGGTGGGCCCGTGCGTCGATGAAGATCGTCGTCGTCGTCGTCGTCGTCGTCGTCGTCGTCGTCGTCGTCGTCGTCGTCGTCGTCGAGGGTCAGACAGTACCGCTCTGGGCCCCCCTCCCGTTCCTCTGGCAAGAGGTCCGCAGCTTGCGCAGCTCGGCGAGGGGTTACGCCACTCGTAGGCTTCCCAGGTGAGCTGTCTTAGCTTCGCCTTTTCGGGGTTCTCTCTTGTGCCAGCTTTCGTGCGTTTGTGATCTCCTTTCTCCCTGTCTGGACGGTGGCGCCATCGGTCGGATCACACTCGGGCTGCAGGTTGTGTCTGAGCTTCTCTCCTCCGTCGCAGTAGTTCGAGTCGTCGTCCCTTTGCCTTCTCTAGTACTTCGTCGGCTTCCCCTGCCTTTTCTCGCCAGCTCCGAAGGTCCTCTCCAGTGCCGTCCGCGCTGCCCCCCCCCAAAAAAAGAAAGGGCCCAAGTCCCGTCGGCTGTACGATCGTTGACTGCACTGTCCCAAGCTGCCTGTCCCGCTGCTTCTACTTCCCGCCCAGCGCCTGTAGTAGCAGCGCTCGTGTGCAGCCGCGCTTGTGGCGCTCCACGAGGCCGTCCCCGCGCAGCCCCTGTTGTCGGGAGGCGCGGGGAGGGCGGGAGCGAGTGGAGGAGAGGCGTGGACACTGATCCTCATTGGTAGGTGGTCTTGGAACCCTCTGGCTTTGACTATCTGTGGTGGCTTCCCTGCAACCTTTAATGTTTCAGTTTCACAACTCTTGACGAGTCCTGAGGCCCCATGTCGGCACCGCAACGTGTGGTCGACGCGACTTGTGCGTCCTGAGTGTCCGCGGAAGGTGGGCCGTACGTCATAGTGTGTAGTGATGATGCTCGTGTCACTCGTGCTGCGCATACTACGACAGCTGGTGCCGTGGCTGTTCTCCATTCTAGGTGGTGCCCCGCCCACCGTTGGGTCTTTGGTAGAAGCTATTCTACCTTCAGCGTCCCTGTTGCAGCCAATGTCGCTGTTGATATCCCTTTCCACAATCAGAGTTGTGCGACGTCCTGTCTTTTCCTATTGGTCCTAGATCCACTCGCTGATTGCCGTCGATACCTCTTCGTCGTATTTAGCGGGCGTGTGTGCGTAGCATCAGACGTAAAATGTGTAGTCGTACTGTTTAGTAGCTAGGCGGATCCCCGCTGTACGCCCTCGCAGCTGTGCAGGTCGGTGGTAGGTGGCACGTGGAGCTTGCTCGTCCATTCTCCTCCTTCTGAGTATGCGGACTCCACATGTTGATCAATTGGCCTTTCTTGGCTCCAAACTGTAAATGCCGTGTGGCGGGGTAGGTTGTTCCTCCGCACCGGCTCCGGTCCTGACCAGCTGCATGTGCCGTTGAGCGGTATTTGAGTCCCAGGACTGTAATTCACAGCTGATGTCTTCCAATCGCTCCATACTTTGCGTTCATGGGGTTGTAGCAGCACATCCACATTTCATCGTCGACATACGGTCGGTTCCTTGGCCATTGTCCCCTAGTCCAGCTGCACCCGAAGCCTGTGGCACAGGGCTCAGAATCGCTGGTGTACGGTTGGACGTGAGGTATAGTCGGTCTGCGCCTGTAAACCTCAAATGGCGACTAGGAGAAGGAGGAGGAGGAGGAGGCGGAGGAGGAGGAGGGGGAGCAGTAGGCTCACCGTCGGTGTCGTCTGCGCTCTCCTGCCGTGCCCCTGGCATCCGGGGCCCATCACGCCACTGCGCCTGGGTCGTGGGCAAGCATCGTGGGCGTCGCCTGGAGGCCTCTTGAGGGCGTCTCGGGGGCCTCCGCATCTGTGCTCTTGGGCGCCTCCTGGAGGCGTGCTGTCGTCTCGAGGGCCCTCTTGGGGCCACTGTGGGGACCTCGTGGGTCCTCTCTTGGGGGCCAGGCTCAGAGCTCTCTTCGCGCGCCCCCCCGGGGTTCTCCGCGGTCCAGCAATGGCGGGGGCCGGCCAGGCGGTGCGCTCCAAGCGGCCAGGCAGCCGCTTTTGCCAGCCGAGCGGTGCAGGCTCCCCACCTCTCCGCGCATGCGAACAAACATTACCCTGTGACGTACCCAACCCAAGTGCACCAAGTGGCAAGAGGAGCTGGCCCAAACTTGCCAGGACAGTGGCAGCGTAGGCGCCGTTATACGTTGTGCAAGCTACAGGGGATGCGCGCGCGTGGTGCGATCCACAGGACAGCAGCAGAAGGACGAGGAGCGAGGGCCCCAGCTTGAGGATGGCATGGGGGCGGAAGCAAAGGGCAGGAGAAGGACGTGCGGGGGGCCGAACCGTTAGCGCGGCAGCAGCAGAGGGAAGGTGGCAGGGGGCAGAGGACGACGACGAAATTGACGGGAGGAGACCGAAGAGTGTTGTTTTTGTCGGTCGTACGCTAAAGATGCAGCGCTGCCTGCGCCATGTCGCCGCGGCGCTCGAAACAAGGATTAAACCTGCTTATCATTCGTGCAAGGCACGGGCGGGGCGTAGCGCGCCCGTCAGTTTTGTTCTGCTTCCTTCCTGACGACCCCGAAATTCGAAACAACTCGTAGGTAACAGGTGAGGGCGTCACTCCGCTGGACCCCAGGGATGGCGAGGTCTCCTGCTGGTCCGCGCAGGACGTCACTCCTCTGGACCCCCAAGCAGCCAAGGAAAGTGGCGACAGCTTAGCAGATCGCAGCCCCTCAGGAATGGCGAGGTTTCCTGGTGGCCCGCGTAGGACGTCACCCCGCTGCATCCCGCAACGCCCGTCGAAAGTGGCGTCAGTTTCGCAGATCGCAGCCCCCCCAGAGGTGGCGAGGTTTCCTGGTGGTCCGTGTAAGGCGTCATTCCGCTGTACCCCCAACAACCCTCGAAAGTGGCAGCCGATCCGCAGATCGCGTCCCTCAGAAATGGCGATGCCTCTTGGTGATCCGCGTAGGGCGTCATTCCGCTGAACCCCCCAGCAGCCCTCGAAAGTTGCGACGGTTTCGCAGATCGCAGCCCCCCAGGAATGGCGATGTCTCGGGGCGATCCGCGTGGGACGTCGCCCTGCAGCCCCCCAACAGCCTTCGAAAGTGGTGACAGTTTCGCAGATCGCACCCCCCAGGAATGACGATGTCTCCCGGTGATTCGCGTCGGAGGTCACTCCGCTGCCCCCCCCATCAGCTTTCGAAAACGGCAGACGTCTCGCAAATCGCAGCCCCCCCAGGGGTGGCGAGGTTTCCCGGTGATCCGCGTGTGACGTCAGTTCGCTAGACCCCAGCAGCCTTCGAATTGGCGTCAGCTTCGCAGATCGCAGTTTCCCAGGGATGGCGGTGTCTCCTGGTGATCCGCGTATGACGTCACTTCGCTGTACCCCCCAGCAGCCCTCGAAAGTTGCGACGGTTTCGCAAATCGCAGCCCCCCAGGAATGGCGATGTCTCGGGGCGATCCGCGTAGGACGTCACTCCGCTGCGCCCCCCAGCAGCCTTCGAGAGTGGCGACAGATTCGCAGACCGCAGCCACCCCCAGGGATGGCGATGTCTCCTGGTCATCAGCGTGGGATGCCATTCCGCTGCGCTCCCCAGAACCCTCGACAGTGGCGACGGCTTCGCAGTTGGCAGCCCCCCAAAGATGGCGAGGTAACCTGGTGGCCCCCGTAGGACGCCACCCCGCTGCACAACCCCGGAGCCCTCGAACGTGGCGGCAGTCTCGCAGATTGCAGCCCCCAGGGGTGCGGGGTCTCCTGGTGAGCCGCGCATGACGTCATTCCGCTGGACCCCCCATGCAGCCCTCGAGAGTGGCGACGGTGTCGCACATCGCAGCCCCACAGAGAGGACCAGGTAGGAGGCGACCTGGCTAGCAGGAGCGAGCGGGGCAAGGGGCGGGTAGGACAGACGAGAGAGGAGGGAGGCGGGAAGGAGGAGAAAGAGACGCGCGCGCAGCGCTCTACTCAACACGAGTACCCAACGCAGGAGGGTTGGGAACAATTGGTCGATGTAAGAGGCAGGAGAGAGGAGACAGGAGGCGTGAAGGAGGGAGGCGGGAGGAAGGCGAATACCGCAATGCCATTTTCAAAACGAGCACCCAACGCAGGAGGGTTGGGAACAAAACGAAGCCGCGATTGTACGTGCTGTTTTTTTTGTATCCCCGCTGTCGCTGGCTTAGGACTACGACATGCTAAGCCTTAAGTTGTGATCTGCGAATAATCTTTTCATCCCTGAGCAATACGCACGTAGGTTGGATGGCGTGCCGCCGCCTCTTGTTGGCCAGCGTCCTTGCGCTTCTCACGGGCATCGCTCCTGTTGAAGCAGCTCGTCACGAGGACGTGACCGAACTTCTTGGCATCGACGGCGGCAAGGCCGGCCGGGCCTCCGAGATCGGGGTCCCCTCGGCGGCAAACACCAGCAAGGTGGACAGCGACACCGACCTCACCGCATCGGCACACGGTGCGCATCACGGGGAAGACACCCACCAGGGGACTGGTGCGCACCACCACGCCTATAGTGTGGTGGACATTGCCGTGGGTGTCTGCTTCGTCGGCTTCGTCCTGGTCATGACGTTGACGCTGCTTCTAGCCAACCATTCTGACGACGACGTCCGCGCAGCGGCGTACTTCATGGTGTCACAGACGGTGTCGATATTCTGTGCAGTGACGATTGACGGCGTGATGGGCGAAGAGATAATCTCGCGCGTCAAGGTCAAAGGAGATTTCTGGACGGGTGTCGTGCTCCGCGCGCTATACGGGCTCTCGCTGGTAGTGACAGTCTTTGTACGCGTGGCCCGCACGGAGAGCAAGGTGCCGATGATGGCCACGGGAGTCCTTGGGGGCCACTTAGTGGGCTACGCTGCTCTCCAGGTTTTTGGGCCTTTGCAGCGGCACTTTGATAAGCATGCCATCACAACAATCGTGGTCTGCGTGTCCCTGTATTACATCATCCTCAGGGCCATGCTCTGGTGCTTTGAATTCCTGATTCAGGACAGTGGCGAAGCCCGGGAACTGAAGATTAAAACGATCCACGAGTGCAAGGAGGACGCGTTCGCCTTCTGCAACGGCTTCCTTCTCGCGCAGGCCTCGAAATTCTACATCCTGGGTTTCATTCCAGAGATGCACTGCCAACCGCAGGGGCGCTCGCAGCAGGAGATCACCAAGCTCTTTTGCGTTGTTGGGCTGTATTCCTTGATTGTCTGCGTGCTGGCGCCCCTGAAGAAGTTCGCCCATGTCATCTCACTGGCGCAGCGTACGGCAGGCATGGCGGCCGCCTGGTTGCTCGTGTTCGCGGGAGAGTGGCAGCTGTTCAGGGAGGCCGAGACGCCGTCCTACGCGTCAGGGATCATGTTGGTGACCTTCGCGAACACGATGGTCGGCTACGCACTCGTGGTCTCGCTCGACTTCGTGGCGGACAGAAAGTGGATTCGGCCATCCTCGGTGAGGGCTGTCATCTCCCTCGTCGCCGCCATGGTCGGCATTTCCTGGGAGAAGGCGTTCCACGAGGCAGACCATGCTGTGGCCAGCGGACTAGATTCAAAATATCGCTGGAGGTCTGGAGGATAAAGTACACCGATAGCGATGTCTTCGTTTTTGTTGGGTTTCCTGGGGGTCGGGGACCTGGACCGAACGCACCCTTGGAGAGGTCTGTCAGGTGGCGCCGTCCGCATTTGCTGTCTTCCGAGAGGTTCAGATCGCTGCTGGACGTCGCCATTGTGCTCATCGTGCTCCAGGGGTGGCGCTGGCTCATCCTGCCGAGGGCGATCGAGTACGAGGAGGCGAGCGAGGAGAAGCACGAGAAAGAGGAGGAGGAGGAGGAGGAGCACGCCGGGGAGCCGCGGGCGGAGGAGGGCCAGAAGCCGGCACAGGCGCCCGCGCCGCAGTGAGCAAGCCCCCTCTGCTCACATCCCCGGCGGCCCGAGTGCTGGCCCAGGCCCTCACGAGGCGGCCTCGGCTGCCAAGTTTGTGGGTCAGACCCTGGGGCGCTCCCAGACTTTAGGGGGGGGGGGGAGCTGGCTGTGCTTCATCGTCAGCATCGGCGTCGTCAGCCCTGCTCCCACCTCCTGGTCTTCTTCTCCTTCCTCCACCTTCTCGTCCCACTCCTCCTGGCCAAGTCGGCACACGGCGGTCCCCAAGACGGCCCAAGCCAAGATGGCCCCGAGGAAGGTTCGACGTCTTGAAAGTTTCACATCCATTGTCCTCGTCCCGTGCATAGCCTCCGTCTTTCTTGTTGTTCCCCCTCATCATGTTCCTTCCTCCTCTCTTCTTCTCCACCTTCTCTTTTCCCGCCCCCTCTTTCCTTCCCTCTCCTTCCAGGACCCCAGCGATGAAACTTGCCCCCTGTTTGCAGAACCCACGTCCGATTCGTCCCCTCCCCCCCCCTCCCCCGCGTCTCCTTCCCCAGGGCCCCTTGCCCGCCTCTACTGCTTTCGCCCTCATCCCGCGCACACGTATCGCGATATTTCCGGAATGGAGGGAGGACGAGGGTCGAAATTCTAGACGCTTCGCGTATCCCCACCAGGACTCGCTACAGCGGCATACGTGCCTCTGCAGCCAATTATCTCGCTCTGTGGCCCAGACGTTACTCCCGCTCGCTGGATCTGTCCTTCGAGCCGCCGAACAAAAAAAGGTATCCCCACCAGGAGGTGCGCGGCTCTAGTTTGCTTCTGTTGTCAGTTAGTAGGCCCGCGCCCCGGACTGACTCGCCGCTTGCGCTTTCGCCTGCGGCCGTGACCAAAAAAATATCCCCACCAGGAGACCGGCAGGTGGGCCCCCATAGTACTCCTCACTCCTATCAGCGTCCCTGGCCCGGGGGCAGTTTCGCGGATGAGGCCGGACATGCGCTCGAAAGCGCGTCCCTTCCTGGAGACAGTATCGCAGCGATCATGGGGAGTATTTCTAGGTGCGCGCCCGCGCTGGGAGACGTTCCTCACAACATAGGGGCTCAGGAGCTTGTATATGAAAGTGCAGCCGTTAGCTGCAACAGATCAGGTGGTCGTCAGCCTCAGTGTGTCGGTCCGCCCCCATCCTGGACACAGGCAGACTGGCGCTCCTACAACCCCTTACTCATATCAGCGCCCAGGGAGCAGAGTCTTAGTGAAGGCCGAAAATGCGCCCCCTCCTGGAGACAGCACCGTGGCGACAGCTCGGACTGCTGCAAAGGGCGCGCCCGAGATCAGAGACCCTCCACGCGACCCAGGGCGCTCGCGACCGGATGGCGCGCCTGACTCCTGGCTGTGCGTGCGGGCTACAGACGGGCGCGTCGTCTCGATCGGCGCAGACGCTCTGGCCGACGCCTCCGAAGCCCCCACCCCCGTGGCTGACGGCTACTATGGAACCCACTACCTGGAAATTCTGGGGCTGTCGTTGCACCCAGTCGACGGCGAGACCCTGCGACGCCCAGCTGTGACTCCGCCCGCAGTCGCCCATGGTGCGTTCGAACACTTCCCGCTGGGGGACCACGGACCAGCTCTGCAAAGGCAGGACAACGAAGCCATCCGCCAGCTCGTCGAGAGAAGTCCCTTCGCGCCCATTCGCCCTCCTTCCCCTGTCAGTGAATCCACCCGAGTGGACGGCGAACCGCACCCTCACCCTCCAGAAGCCCGGGCCACGCCAGAGAAGGATACTTATGATCTGGCGACAGAAACGGTGTCGGCGAATGTGCATGCACCTGGTACGACCGACGGAAATCCCACGTCTGGCGATAGCGCGGCGGCAGATGGGGGCGCGCCCGTGAGCGAGGGCGGGCACGGGTCCGAAGGCGAACGCCAGCGAAAGGGTCCTGTCTCCGCACACCTCAGCTGCCAGAGGCGATCCGGCCCCTGCCTGGCGGCCAACTGTGCGGCCCGCACCAACCCGCATGGCCCCGCCAGGCGTCCCTGCCCCAGCTGCCGCTGCGCCGCTCAACGCCATGTGCGGCTCTTGCGGCGGGCCCAACCAATCGGAACTGTCGCTCACAGAGCTCGAACGCTCTGTCAAGGACAGCGGGGCTGGTTCGCTGGACGCCTGCGACCAGAACGTATGGCAGCGCAGACAGCAGGACCAGGGGCGGGCGCAACCGAGTAGAAAACCAGAGCAGCATGCGGAGCAGACGCCGGAAGAGCCCGCTGAACAGGAGTTGCCCGCCGCTCACGGGGCGGGCGCGGAAGTGGCGCCAGCGCAGGACTTTGGAACGCGGACAGGAACAGGAACAGGCAACCGCCCGCCGCCACACTCCCCTGGCTGCCACTTCTAACCCTGGTCCCTTCCCCTTCTGGCGATGGCGCCGATGGGCGACGGCAGCGCGGCCAGAACGCGCCGCCAGCGCGTCTGCCTGGCAGCGGGTGGACGCCCTGCCTGGCTTCCGCGACCGGCGACTCTCCAGTCTCCCCGCCGCGCTCGGGTCGAAACCTGGCCCCCAGCGACGCCGACCGCGCCGGCGGGTCGGGCAGGCGGCAGTCGACAGGCGGCGGGCGCGCCAGCAGCAGCGGCAGCAGCAGCAGCAGCAGCCGCCGCGCCAAGGACCAGCCGCTGATCACCCCGCCATTGGTAACGGGGCCCGCCGCGCGCCAATGGCCAGAACCCTTAGACCCCGACGCGGGGCAGCAGCTGTGCAAAGCTAAGATCGGCGGCATCCAGTGGGACCCCCCTGGGGAAACACCTGGCAAGACGATGAGGCGGCTTCAAGTCGCCCTTGGGGCGATGTTCGCAGGCGCCCGGCACGCGTTCGCCGAGCAGCATGCCACGCCCGGCAGCAAAGGCGCGCTCGACCCGCCACGGCGCGACCAGCAAACTTGCGTAAATTTCTTGTCCCCCTTCCGCAGCCACAACTGCGACGTGCGGGCCATGAACGACGCGCTGGACCTCGGCATTGGCTGGGCTCAGCTGCGGCATCGGCACCTGGGTGGAAGTGACGGCGCGGGCAGGGGGCGCCAGGCGGCGAAGGGCCACGCTGACAGCCGCGCACCCAGGAAGGGCAAGAAACAGTGGAAGGTCGTCACCTACAGCACTGCGGGCGCGCCCGCCCTTATTTCAAACTAGTCTGCCGCCGCCCTGCGCTTCCTGCCCCTCGCCGCCCGCTGCTCGCCGGTGGCCCTGTCGCCCCTCGCCGGCTGCTCCGGGCGGCTGCGGCGGCCAGGGCGGCTCGCGCGCGCGCGCCCTCGCCAGCGCCGCGGACGCAGCTGACGCCTTCGGGCGAGTCGGCGCAGTCGGTGATCGCTGGCCCGCGCCACGCGCCGCCTGCGCCATTCCGTGCCGACTCTCCCTGCGTCCGTCGGTGCCAGTGGTGCGTGTGTTATAGCTGTTTTCACCTCTGGCTGGATGCTGCCAGCTCGCAAGCCCCTGCCCTCGCTCAGTGGCGCTTGCTCTTCCCGCCGCCCCTGGGCCCTCCGCGGCGCAAAGGTGCATTCCGGGGTGGTGGCCCTGCGCCGCCATTCTTGCCATCGCTGCCTCCTGGGGCCCCTCGCTCCTTCCGCCCCTCCTCAGGCAGCCAGGATCGCAGCATCCCTGATATCCCTGGCTTCCTGCCCCCCCTGCTCCACATTCCCAATTTCTTCGTTGGCGCATGGAGCCCCCGAGTGCACGTGGTCCAGCCTGTGCTCTCCGGACCGTCGGCCGACTGCGTTGACTACGTCCACTGTTTCCAGGCGGCGGTGTCCACGACACTTTCCGTGTTCACTCGACCGCATGTTTGAGGTGTGCACTTGCCCAGTTCCTGGTCAGTTCTCCTCAGGTGTCGACGACCTAGTTCGGGAGTGCGCGTGGTTTCCTTTGATCCGTTGTCTCAGGTTCAGTTACGGTGTTGATCGCATCCATCGTTGCCCTGGCAACCTCGCCATGCCTTTCGCGTTCACTCTGTTCACGGTTCGACGACAAGTGTCCGGATCAGTACTCCCTTCAGAAGTCTTGTTGTGTGCGATTTTGGTGGCGCCACTTCCATGCACTAGTTTCCTGGTCAGTGAGTTCTTCCTGGCCTAGCTGGTGTCAGCGTTCCTTCGTGATGGTGTTCCTGGCTACATCCTGGTATCGCTCCCGCGCCATTTTGGCTGCGCTCCAACCTCGGTTGGCTAATTATGCATGCGCTCGCTCCCGCTCCTGTCTCCTGGCAGCTGCAGCCCGCACCACCTCGCGCAGTCTGGTCAGCTTAGGTGCTGCTTAGGCCGCCGGTTAGCCGGTGCATTCGGCAATTAGGTTCGCGCGTAGCCCGCCCGACCCTTGACGCTGCTGGCGCGCTCGCCTGCGGCCGCGAAAACAACACAATCAAATCCCCTCCATGCCGCCCATCCAGAAACGATGCCCAGGAAAGCTGACGGAAAAAGGGAAGAAGAGACTCACATAGTGAACCGGAGCGAGCAACAACGGTGAATTGGGAGATCTTTTATGGCGAAGGTTGCAAGTGTTATTGCTGGTGCTCTTGCTCCTGCTGGTGCTGCTGCTGCTGCTGCTGCTGTTGCTGTTGCTGTTGCTACTGATGCTGCTGTTGTTGCTGATGGTGCTGTTTCTCGGATGATGAGTAGACGGATAAGGGGGAGGAGGAGGAGGAGGAGGAGGAGGAGGAGGAGGAGGAGGAGAGGAGGATGATCATACTAATACTAAGAAGAAGAATAAACATAAGAATAATAATAAGAATAAGAAGAAAGGCAAGACGAAGGAGGTGGAAACAGGGCGAACATATGATCCTCTTAGGATGTCTCTTGGGGGTTGTTTTGGAAACCTCTTGGAGCGTCTGGGGGGGGAGGGATCTTGGGGGTTTCGGGGATCCTTGTGAAGGCTTTTCAGGTCTCTTGGAGGTATCTTGAATGCCTCTCGGAGCCCCTTGGGATATCTCGTGGGCGGTTGTTTTGAAGCCTCTTGGGACGTATCGGGGGTCTTTGGGCGGTCCTGAGGACTCTTGGGTGCTGTGGGTGCCTCGGGGAGGCCGCTTGGGGTCCTCTTGGGGGTCTTTTGGGGGCCTCTTGGGGCCATTTTGGGGTTATCATGGGGCCATCCTGGGGCCTCTTGGAGCCTTTTGGGCGCCTATGGGCCCGTCTGGGCTCCTTTGGGGGCCTTGTCGGGGCGTTATTGGAAGCTTTAGGGGCTCTCTTGGGGCCATCTTGGATGATAT